ACTCTAATTCTACCCATTGCCTTATTACCTACTAATAACCACCTCACAAATACTAAAACTATCCTCTTTATTAATACCTATACCAGATCAACTCTATTAAGCTAGTGCTCTCAAGTGTCCCCACGTATAAGGACGAGAGAAGAATAAGAGAGCGAAGGTCTCTATAGGTACTAGTCTTTCAGGAGCAACTATATAGATTACGGATATAATAAGAGAGACACTTACTTAGAGGAAAGAGGAATTTGATATAGGACGCCCTGAATATCAACGTGTAATAGATATTATCTATACGACTTATTAAGACTTAGTGGATGTACTTCTAATTAGGGCACAAATAGCTCTTCTAGGCTTCGTTAAAGTAGCTATTCCTCGTATACTTAGAAGTACTAAAACCTCTTATACTACGTATATCCTTAATACTTAAGCTAGTCTCATAAGACACTTTTTTATTAAGAAAATATTAAAGGACTACTAGAGATAGCTTATTCTAGTTAATAAAAGGGAAGATAAGGGTAGGAAGGCTTAGAAAGAAAGTAATTAACGTGGATTTTATAGTATACTAAAGGATCTAATAGAAGCTTTTAATACTAGGGAGTATAAAGGCGATAATTATAATAGTTTAGCTACTAGTAGTGTCTTTGAAGAATCGGGTCCTAAAGAGAATTAGGAGGCTTAGTGTCACGGGCCAGGCCTTTATATAAAGAAAACTAGTAGTATTAATATAAGAAGAAATAACTAAGGAGAGAAAGAGAGAGTCTCGCTCTCGCGTGAGCTAAATATATACGGGCCACGTACCGTGCGCTCCCGTAGCTATAGTAATGAAGGTCACATGACCGAGTCCAAACCACGGGTCTAACCCGTTATATTACCCCCCTCCCTACGGAGCCAGAGGCCTACTCGTCTTCAAAGTCGCTAGAATCGAGCTCTCCTAGAATCTCATTAACTTGACGTACCCTCGAGGCACTAATCTTTGCCGTACGACTCCTAGAGTCAGCTTCTAGTCCAACTAGTACTAAATACGTGCAATTCCGTATTCGGTGGCTAGCATTACTATAGCGTAAGCATAGCCCCTTCTCTTTACGGGCCTTAATCACGTCCTTTAAGACCCGCTTTACATACGTCCCAGACGCAGAGGCCACACGCACTTCTAGGGCGGTTTCCTAATCTATAGTCGTATCGTACGAGCCTATGTCCGTTGACCAATAGCCTTTGCCATGGCCCCGTTCCAAGTCCAATACTACTCGCCGAATAACAGTAACGTAGCCTTCAAAATTCTCAGGCTTTTCCACCGGTATAAGAGCTACGCGAAGCTCCTTTGAGAAACCGGACTCCAAAAACAATCGTTTGACCCGATTCGGCCATAAGACTCCGTCCGCAGCTATGAGACTACGCTCAAACTCTGCAAAGTAGACCGCAAAAGGCTTATTCTTTTACTAGAGTACTATCATTTACCGTTCGCCACTATCCACTTCCTCCCGTATATCGTATATAGCGTCTAATTAACTACATAGCTCCGTGACCGTCCCTTGTTAGCCTACGCTCTTTACCCACGGTATAACTTGTGATAGAGCTTTCCCTCGTAACCGCGAGTAGTAATACCAAAAACGTACGATATCCTTATCGTCTTCTATATCCACTTATAGCTTAGCTCATAGCTACGTAGCCCAAGCAGGGTATTCCTTCCGAGAGCCATCGAATATAGGCACATCGGGCAACCGATCACGACGATGACCTTCCCTTATATTAAGCTAAGCTTATAAGGTCTATATAAGGCCCTCGAGGGCTTGAATTCGTTCTAATAGGACATTGGCCCACTAGGGGGGCGATTACTAGCTATTCGTAGCCATCCGTCCGACTCGCAAAAAATTCGATAAAAAACTAGGGGCTCCGAGAGCTACTGGCGTACGACAATCCAATTAAAGGAGTTATTTCTAATGTCACGGGCCAGGCCTTTATACAAAGAAAACTAGTGGTATTAATATAAGAAGAAATAACTAAGGAGAGAAAGAGAGAGTCTCGCTCTCGCGCGAGCTAAATACACACGGGCCACGCACCGTGCGCTCCCGTAGCCATAGTAATGAAGGTCACATGACCGAGTCCAAACCACGGGTCCAACCCGTTATACTTAGTAATATTATTTTTTTTGGTTATACCCTTTTTTATAGTCTTTATAGATAGTAATGAGAATGTTTTCCCTTAATTAGATTCTTTTAGTAGTATATAGTTATATAGTAATTTAGGAGTTTAGTTGAATGTTTCCTGTCTTTTACCTAATATAAGCTATATAAACTATAAAAAGTGAATATGAGAATATCTTTAGAACTACTAATCCAAATAGCCTAATTCTTAGTGCGTTTAAATACGCTTCATCTATTCTTTCTATTCCTATAATTATTAATAAGACTCATAATTAGTTATTAAATCAAAAATCCTAACTTAATATAGCCTATTTCTAAAGCCCTAAAAATTAGAGGTTCTAGTATATGAGAGCCTGAACCGAGTTTAAATAAGGTTTAAACGACGCCCTCTAATTAGTACGGGAGCTCCTATAAGCGCTATACCGCTTTCGTAAATTAATAACACTACACCAAAAGCTTAGATAATTAGCTCGTATTATATTTTGATTTTAAGACCCCCTTTTAGAACTAGGATTTCTCAATAACTACTACTATAACTATAGCCTAGATTATACCAAAAGATGCCCCCGAAGTAGGACTATAAGAATATAAAAAAAAATCTAATCCGAATTTTTTTCTAGCTAAAAGTAGGTTTTTGGCTTATAAAAAATATAAGAGCTCTTAATATAATACTAAATTAAAATCCAAACTAAAGTCCTATATACTTAAGGAATAGCCCAAATGAAAGTCCTATATAAGGATAATAATTAGCTATAATATATAAAAATCCTATATAGTAATAGTAATAAAGTTTTCAAGTATTCTTTTAGATATAATAACCCTGTATTACCCCGTGGCTAATAGTAATATCAACTGCTTTATACTCCACGATAAGCTTACTATTACTCAAATATATCTTAAGTAATCTAATCACGGAAAGTATCTATTCCTTGACGTGTAATTAGTAGTATTTCCTCCTTATTAGCCTCTTCTAGCTCATTAATCTCGTCTAGCCCATCCTCGAATATATCATCCTCTATGACACTATACTAACGAATATAATTATATAAAGCGTAAATAGTAAAGATAATACGCGTTTAGGTTAATAAATCATACTCTATATCTATCTTTAGGAAAGGAAACCGACGCTTTAGAACACCAAAAATACGCTTAACCTTATTCCTTAATATCGAGTGCCATATATTAAAGAGCTCTTAATACGTCTCAGGAACCTCTCTAGTAGTAATAACTTCACGTAGATAGTACCTTATCCTTCTAAAAGGAGTTAAAATAGTCCTAGTATTAACATATCCTATATTACTAAGATAAAATCTACTATTAGGAATACGAAAGCCTCCTCTTATAATAGTGTCCTATAATACCCTCTAATCGTTCGTAGAGCCCTCCTATCTAGGATATATAAAAGAGAATTATAGATCAAATATACACGTAGTAAGTATATTATGTGAGAGATAACTATAACGATTCCTGAAAGGGGCTTGTGCTTCTAGCCCTAGATACGTATTAATATAGGTATTATTAAGGTGTGAGGTAGTTATTAGTAGGTAATAAGGTAATGGGTAGAATCAGAGTTGTGGTATTAAAAATCACTAGTATCAAATTCAGTATAGAACTAATCTCTGTCCCTCCTTAGAGGTCTAGGGAGGGCTCCTGTAAATAGGAGCCCAGAATGACGTACGTATAATCTAGTAATTAATAAGCACTAGCTAGCCTACTAATCAGTGGTATTCCTATGATGTAATGGAATCGTCAATCCTCCTGATCACCGACTATACTACCCGAGAGCCGAGGTATATCACATGAGCCAATGTCACGTGTAACCCGCTACACATCACACAAGGGCACTGATATAATTATCAAAATAAGGCGAGAATCGAGGATCTTACGCGATTCGAGGATATACTCCTATAGTCAGATTAGGCTGTTTTACTACGTGCTTAAATAGTAAATTCAGGGCTGTGAGTACCTCATAGAAGACCCTATTAATATTAGAAATTTAATAATAAAATAATACTATAATAATAAATACCTAGATACTATCGCCCCTGATTTTGAGAACTCCTCCTATACATTCTGGTTTGATACCGGCTAGCTAATAATATATATAAAAATATATACCTTCTCTTTAATAGAGACGTGCCTTAATAAGTATAATACAGTTTTCTCTTAATAGAATATAATTAATTCCCTGAAGGTTACGATTAGTATACGTAATTACTCTTGGTATTAACGTGAATACATATAATTAAGGAGGTTTAGCGTCTTATAGTGACCTTTCCATAGAGAGGTTCTCATTGGAATCTTATCGTAGTGCGTCGTTTTCCAGTAGTCGGTATTATTAAGTGCAATTTGGGTCGTAATTAGCTCGAATTCAAGGTTAAATTCGGCCCAGAATTAATTATTTGAGAGAGTTGATAGTATAATTATTTGATTAATTACGATAATACGCTCAGGCGATCGAAAGTTAGGGTATAAATAGTAGTTAATAGTGGCAAATAGAGGCCTAAGGCCCAGCTTTCAAACTCAGTATCTATAGAACCACCTACGATAGGTGGTTCTATAGATGCTGAGATTAGTATAGGAGCGAATACTGGTATTTGAATACTAGTAACTGTTACTAGTAAATAAAAATTACAGAAACACTTATTTTCCTAATATTCAAATACTAGTATTTGAATACTGACAAATACCAGTATTCGCGGGGTGCGAAACAGGGCCTTATCGGCGGCTTTGCTCTCGCTTACTTAGCGTGGGCAAGATCTCTGCTAAGCGCACAACTTTGAGAGACAAAAAGAACTTCCAAAAAAAAAATTACAAAAATTTCATGATGAGGTTTCCATTACTGGAAGCACTCGGGAATTGAGCCCGAGGCGGGGCTCGAACCCGCGACCTTGAGGTATTCTCTTATGATAAGAGCCACACGCTCTACCGATTGAGCTCTGAGAGATATGTTAGATGCGAATGAATGGTTGACTTGTTGCTGTGTCAAACTTACACCCGGGCTGAGTTGTTTTTGACGGAAACGCACTATTTGAATACTTATTACTCATACACAAAAGGGGGCCGGGGCTCGACATGTGACTCGGCAAGCGCTCGGCCCGCCACCCATTTCCGGACGTCTCCTCATCCATTCCTTTCCAGCTTTCTTCTCTTACGACCTACCATCACGACATCGACTATTCTTTATGGAACAGGCCACCAAATTATCAGAGCCCCTTAGAGATTATCAATTTTCATTCAAGAACAAACGGAAATCATCTCCGAATATGACGAAGCTGTGGAAGCTTCGCAGGTTCTGGCCGAATTGCGACATGATGTCATCATCATCGAATTTGCAAGGCCCCGAGACGATGCTCCGGAACAACAATTATTAAAATATTGTTCAATGCCGCCGAAGCCTGTCTACTGTTTTGCTGTTTGGAATTTCTCTGTTCTGATTTGAACCCGGACTTTCAACCATGAACATCCAAAAATCGTGCAAGTCCTTAGTGGAGAAATCACATCGCGCTCAAGATGTCCTAGATTCCATTTCCTAACATATCGCCAATATCGCACAGCAACTAACCAAACAATCAAACCCCCTCCTTTCCGTTCATTTTACCGATCCCTATTTCTTCTCCCCAGCTTTCCCAAAAAACCCAACCCTAACTCCCTGCCCCGGTTGCAGCACAATCTCCGCCTTCAAACACGGATTCCCACCATCTACAGCCTGCATATGATTCTCGATCCTCTCATACGTCTGCAGCAGCCTGACAATTGTATACCCCATCTCGGTCAACGCAAATTGTTGACCGATACAAATTCTCGGGCCGCCGTTAAACGGGATGTAGTTCCATGGTTTCGGTTGCCAGGTCTGCCATCTTTCGGGGACGAAGTCTAATACTGATATTTGGGAGGATGGGTTGGTAGGGGAGGGGGTAGAGGGAGTTAGGTCTGGTCGTCGTTGCATGACGAGCGACGAGTAGCCGATTGGCGTGTCTTTTAGGATGCCGATTGGGGAGTGGCCGTCGGGACCGCCGCCTGTGGGGAGAGTGGTGTCTTTTAGTGCGAGGCGGACATTGAAGGGGACTACGGGGTAGAGGCGGAGGGTTTCGGCCATCACGTTCTGATACTTATGTTAACATTATCTTCATTGCGAATGGAGAGGGGTGCGAACTTGGAGGTACTTCATGTTCTTCAGATCGCTGTAAGTGGGTGGTTGCTTTAGGCCTACTGTCTGGATGATCTCTTCTCGGAGCCTCTTCCAGACCTCGGGGTGCCGAGCCATTTCGTAGAATGTCCAGGAAAGGGTTGAGGCTGTTGTGTCGCGGCCGGCGAGGAGGACGGCAACGAGTTGATCACGGAGAACGGTGCGGTCGCGTGTGAAAGACGCGAGGGCGTGGAGGAAGGTGTATCCTTCCTCCGTTTTGGTCTTTGTAGATAATTCTTCCGGTGTGAAGCGGAGGGTTTCCTCGATGTATGGGTTCACGAACTCGTTGATGACTTTCAGGGACTTGTAGAAAGATTTTCTCGGCACGAAGGGATTCAATGGCCTATTTGTGTCAGTGTTAAAATAGCAGAAGGGCAAGGAACGTACCCTGCTCGGGTGATGATATTTTGCACCCTCTGTGCCTCCCCAAAAGCGATTGCAAACTCCTGGTCCCCATTCTCCAGACTTCCGACACTCCTCCCAAGCAAGAAGTGCGTAGCAGCATCCAACGTATACCGAAAGAACAAATCACTAACATCAATCTCCCCGCCCTGACTGCCATCCCATTTCTTGCCCGTCTTGTCAATCTGCTCCATCAATATCTGAACGTGCTCTTCAAAGACCTCCAGATCCGAGACCCGATCCTTGATGAACTGCGGCCGGATCAACTGCCTCGAAGCATGCCACTGGTCTAAATCAGTAACGAAGATCGAATCCCCGAGGAAGTCCTTCCATTCCCGATGAAACGGTTCCCCCTTGCCGTAGTCAGTGAACTGGGTAGCAAGTATGGCCTTGATGTTCTCTGGATCGGCGGTGAAGATGCATCGACGGCCAGCGGGGGCGGCTTCAACCGTGTAGCGGTGTCCTTCGGGAAGGGTGAAGAAGCGGTTCCAGACTTCGAGGTTCTTGTGGTGCATTGTGCCGCTGATGGCACGGGCGACGAGGTCGACATCTGAAATGAGATGAGTTTATTGATTTTAGAAACATGTGAGGACAATATATACCTCCTGGAAGGTAGGTCCTAACTCTGTGAGCATGGCCGCCTAAAGACCGGATTTTCCACTCGGCAGTAATCCACTGTGTGACTTTCACAAGGGTGAAGATAGCCACGACTGCAACGGCCACTAGCTTGGGCGAAGTACGTTCGAGGATTTTTTCAATCATCTTTGCCTCGCGTTCTCCAACATCAAATATTAATTTGAGTCAGTAGAACAGAACAAGAGGGGATGTGGATGGAGCGCGCTCGTACCCAATGGCATGAGGACAGTATTTGTATCCTGTCCCTCGAGTCGGTGCAAAATTGAGCCTTGTCGCAACTAGCAAGTTCCGACCTGTGGTTGTGGGGAACCCAGCCTGAACGTCCCGCACTAGTAACGGCGGCCATAGCCTGAAATAGGAAAGCGGGCTTGGTTCCCTGCGGGGATGTCCTGGATGTGGTCGTGATGGCCTCATTGCGGATTGAGTTGCCGAGCTTTCACATGCGAAGTATGGGGTAGGCGTTGTCCCGCCATTCCGGCTCGGCTGAGTTCGACGGAGGCGGTCGAACGAGGATGCTGGGAATGGGTCACATTCGCAATTGTGACATGACGAGAAGAAAAGAGGGAGCAGGAGAGACCGAGTGGATTTTAAGATGCATGTGATGTGAATCATGATTAGCTTGATCTGCTGCAACGGTGGTGCAAGATCTGTGGCTGGAACCGTTGTCCAACCGTTGTCCATGCCAATGTATCCGAAACGCCATCATGAGAAGTTGAAACAACAACCTCTGTGCAAATAAATAAGTGGTTCGTATCGGCTAAGTTAAGCATGAGTGAAAGCGCACTCAGTAGCGTTGCTTTGAGTGCAGAAAACCATCTGGACTGGCCCAGCCCGAATCCCTCGATTGACCATGCGCTCCCTCATTTCAGCTAATCGAGGACTGGCATCAATTTGGGTCCTGTTGTTTCCATTTGCATCTTGCCTCCCTGACCACAATACTTCTCCTGCAGCACTGGCTCTCGGCCATACCATGTCATCGAGGTTTACTGGATCCGTCTGCTCAGACCAGATATGTACTTCACCCCCTAACACTAATTGTTGGTTCTCAGTGGGAATTCCGGCGAGAGGATCATAGGAATACATTAGTCGCCAGTTCTTATATGGTGAGCAGTAATCTGCGAAGGGATAGTAGTGGTTGTAAGCATCGCCTTCGGTGAAGTCGAGCCATTGGCCTTTGCCGCAATCAAGGTACTGCAGACGTGTTAATATCAGCGCCAAAAAAAGAGTTGTAGATTAAGCTTGCCCAGAAATTGTAATCCCCAGCAATGACCTTATGGCCATTTGCTGTTATGTTCGCAATCGCATTGCCGCCTTGCCAGGTCTGTACCACGACATCTTCTCCAAGGGTCAGATTCCAGACCAAGGCCATCTCCTCCCAGACTATTGGGGAGAGGCCAGCTTTTCTGATTAGGCCGTGAGTATGGTCAACAAGCTTTTGTATCAGAGGCTGTAGAACTTTGGTATCATTCGATTTTACCGTTTCGTCGAAGAGATAATCCTGGATGTTGACCTCGTCTCCCCCGGTATGGAAGTAAGAGGAATATGGACTGACTCTTGGAAGAACATCGGCGAAGAGCTTATCTAAGAAGTTGTAGACGGCTGATGAGTTCAGTTTCAGGGTTCCGCATGGAGGCTCGTTGCAGTAGCCATCGTATGGCTGCATATCATAAACGGCGATTAGCTCCGGATGAGAGTAGGCGATTGAGGTGGTGTGGCCAGGCATATCGAATTCAATGAAAACCTCAACGCCACGCGCAATGCCATACGTTTGAATTCTCTGGATATCTTTGGGAGAATAGGACAATCCTTTCTGATAAGCTCCTTTCTTCGACAGTTCGGGGATAGCCGGGACATCCATTGGCCAAGATTGGGAGTCCGTCATATGGAGATGGAGGCGGTTGAATTTGTTCCAGGAAATTGCGTCAATGGTTCGCAAAATGTCTTTAACTGGGAACCAATTTCTCGAGACATCCATGTTCAGCCCTCGATGTTGAAACTTGGGTGAATCAGTAATGGTGACAGGGGCCGTGTTTGTGTAGATTCCTTTCTCAGAGTGCTGGTAAAATAGCTGAGTGAAGGTCTCCAGTGCATGAAGCACTCCAATATACGATACAGCATTGATTGTTGCTTGTCCACTTGTAGTGATAGTAAGGTTGTAAGATTCATCCACCTGGCCTGCCAAGGGCTTGAAAGTGCTGGAGTCGTCCTTGCCAGTCTGGATGATGGCCAGGCTTTCGATGCGGGGCTTGTCGCAGTCGCAATCCTCTGGCTCGAAGTTGGAATTGCGAGGCAAAAGTTTCCATGGAACGAAGTTCTGTTTAAACAGTGTGTCCAAAGTCCGAGAAACCGCTGCTTCTACCAGGGAATGGCTATCGAATTTGGTTGCTGAGGAGGAAAGAGAAGACTGTCCATGGGACACTTGTTCAGTATGAAAGCCTGGATAATCAAGAAAGGAAACTCCGCGTACATTTGAACAACTTGCACCATTATAGGTAACCTTCAGCCCCTCCGAGATCCACAGCGTCGAATTTCCCTTTTCGAAAGATACAGGCTGAGGCCATATTGCAAGGACTTCACAGGAGAGGAATAGTAAATAGTAAATTAGAAACCACATGGTTGCAGTCGACAAGATGGAGACCTGTTTCATGCACAAGTAATATGATGTGGAAAAAAAAGATAAGATATGAGATATTTGGGAAAGAAAAGGATGGACTATATA